CCGTCACCATGTCTGCTCTAAACACAGGGAAGTATGTAAGTCTGTTTTCACATATAGAGTACCCGTTACCATGTCTTCTAAAATATTCTTTATGCCCACCCTCGGGCATTTTCAAATTTTCCGAAACCCCTGGCAAAGCCTCAGATCTTTCCAAGAAATCACCTCAGGTGGGATTTCCCTATCCTACACCCCTTGACATGAACGAGTCTTATAATCTTCTTTCCTTTTATGCTGGTCATCTTTCTTATTTTTAATAAAAAGCTTCACATATATGCTTATAGTATGCATTTTATTTTGAGTACACAGACAGTGACATGTCTATCTACCGAGAACACCACAGTATACACAATTATATAAATTGTTTGGAACTATTTCTATATCCTCTCTGATATTACACCTAATGTATCCACTCAACACCTCGCATTTCTCTTCAACCTTCAACACAATAACTGAAGACAGTGTCACACCATATTTAAACGTTCTCACACAAACAATATATATATAGGAAGGTAACAAAAACATTCCCACCTTTTCCACACAGCTTGTCCCCGGTTGAGAAGACAACACTCAGGCTCCCACTCCCGTTTTAGTTCCCCGTCACACACCCATCCCCAGAACACAAGCCAAAGTGGCATGACAATATCTCTTTACTTTCCGAGCTTCTTTCTATACCTTCAACCCCGGAACAAAAACCACTGGGGCATACAACTATCTCTTACGATCTCAACCATTCTCTCATACCTTTGTCCCGGACACCAGACAATCGGTATGACAATATCTCTCTCCGCCTCTCAAGATTTCCCTCACACCTTCACATCCGGACACTACAAAGTGGAGTATGCAACTAACTAACTTTTTTTTCATACTTTCCAATATCACACATTCATTCTAAGGACATCCAACATCTGGTCACCGGCATGTCATTCCGCGCACTACCAACATTTAAAATAGTTCATATTGCACATGAGATTCAAATACAATGTATAAACGCATGGTATAATTATGATGCCATGATTCTGCTATCGAATTCCAACTTACGATTCAATCGCATTAACATCAAGATGTCGAGACAAGCAATGACATGGCGTTACATTTTGATACAATATAAATACAAATCATAGAATTTAAGCCAAACAGTTGTTCTAATACTGTGGGGTTTAAACATTTGAATATCAATAGTATGGAATAAAACGATTTGTACAACATTGATGAAAAACCAACTGTTTTGTTTAATTATTACGTATAAACATATATGAAGACATTTAACTGCAATGTAGTGAGTAATTCAGTGGACGACAAAACCAGTACTAACAGGTCCTGAGAACAAACAATACACATATAGGAGTACAAAATTCGATCAAATCTGATTATTAATTGATCTGCTGATCCTGACCTGGTAGGTTTATGCTAAACTATATTGTAATGTTCATTAATGTCAAAGAATTTAATAACACTAGTTGAACCTGTGCGTTTTTTGTCAAAGATATATTGCTAAAGAGGTAAGAATGACTGTTAACGCTATGGGATAAAGCTTTGTCGGCCCTAAGCACATTCGTCGCTATAACATTTTCTAGCTATCGCGGAGACGACAATCAATACACATTGCATATATGGGCAAATAAATCGTTAGAGTAATACCTTGTATCTGTTGTAGGCAACATCTATATGTGACAATTTATTTTAATAGGTAACCTACATAAGCGAAGAGTAAACTATGTAGAAACGTGAGATTGAATTAAGAAACATGCATGTTTTTACATTTGAGACATCGAACACGTAAAGAAAGAAACTATTTGGAAACATCTTTAGTAGAGACGTTTCTTGACATAGGAAACAAGTATATGTAAAGGCATATTATATTAAGTTTATAGTTTATTGAAGACATGGATTGAGTATGCAACTTAATAATGAATTCATAGCAAATTGTCATGATGACCACGATAAATAAATATGGACGTAAGACAGGGATTTTTATGCAATCTTATCACATACAGATTAAATGCCGTAATTAAGTGTAAAAAAACAAGAGAATTCGTGTGAAGTAGAATGATTTGTAAATCGACTCGACCAAGAGAGGAGTAAACCCTCCTTGGCAATAACACAATGAGAAATCCTCGATCAATTCCAGGACGATAAAGTGATGATTGAAGGCCTTAGTAAGACTCTTCAAATCCCCACTGGCCCAAGCAAAAAGGCCTTCAAATCCACAAATCAAGACTAATAAAATCTATTATCTGTAACTGAGCGAGATCGGGTTATCTCAGTCGAGGGTTAAGATTATGTAACAAAATCCCAACCGAGGCGTAAGCTCAGTTACTGGTAATTGATTTTTTTTCGCACCTTTTAGTTCGAAAAAAACCTATTCAAATTTGCTAAAAACTACAAGTATCCCGCCTTGGGCTCAAACGATATGACCTCTTCACTACTTAAGCTACATTTGAATGCTTCCGCGTAAAAACGTAATCCGTCCTTACATAGATTACAACGTAATTCACAATGTAGATTACATTTTATCTACAACATCAAATATCTAACAACATCAAAACTAAACATATAACGACAAAAGAGAACGTTTATAAAGCAAATTGTCAATTTCAAACAGTTAGCGCGCGGATAAATACATCACAGTGTAAAAATTAATCCACACAGGTCACGGCTAGGTCATCACCATACAAACCAAACCAAAAGATCCATCTTAATCCACACAGGTCACGACTAAGTCATCACCATACAGACCAAACCAAAAGGACCATCTAAATCCACACAGGTAACGACTAGGTCATTACCAAACTTTTAACCATCTCTATTATAAGTTTGTGTCGGAACTATTTCATTATCTTTTTACCGTAATACAACTATTCTGAGGCTATATCATGAAATATTCTGGTCAGAACGTAAATACGTAACATTAACTATCTAGTCAAATCCTGAAGCAACACCAGTTTGTATAGTTGAGTTTTTTAAGACTAATCCTTGTTTTATTCCGTATAACCTGCAGCATTGTTCTCAGCGTCGAGATGGTGTCTTTTTATACCCAGATATGACACCATTAAGGGGTAAGTCTGGACAGCAGAACCTACAAAAAATGTCATCACTACTCCGCTCTCCTATCTCATTCCTCTCTCCCCCGTGCCCGTCATCCTCTCCCACACTATCTCTATCTTCCTCCTCGGCGTCCTCAATGATCTTTAGAGGATTAGTCCTCAGCGAGTTTACGGCCTCCACGAGACTAGTGTATGTATTACCATTGAGACTAAGCCGGGCGTTATACGTGGCTGTGGTTATAGCATTTCTGTAATCGCCCTGGAAAAGATCATTCATATTGTCATGAAATAAACAATCTTAAATATAACTACAAGTTAAGGAATTCAAAATGATTATCCGAAAGTCGTAAGCTTAAATACTGATAGGTCTGCAGATATTTTCCCCAAAATCAAAATCAAAAAATGAAATACCCATATTTTCATTTTAGATGCTGTTTACGTCTTGATGAACATCCGTCTAACTGGTTTGTCTATGTCATTACGAACATCACTTCAGCTTGTATATCCATTTCCTGTTCCTTAGTACATCCGCCCAGCTGGTTCTTCTTTGTCAGTACGTTTATATGTCCGTCTGGTTCATCCATGTCAGTACGTATATTTGTACGTCTGGTTCATCCATGTCAGTACGTATATTTGTACGTCTGGTTCATCCATGTCAGTACGTATATTTGTACGTCTGGTTCATCCATGTCAGTACGTATATTTGTACGTCTGGTTCATCCATGTCAGTACGTATATTTGTACGTCTGGTTCATCCATGTCAGTACGTATATTTGTACGTCTGGTTCATCCATGTCAGTACGTATATTTGTACGTCTGGTTCATCCATGTCAGTACGTATATTTGTACGTCTGGTTCATCCATGTCAGTACGTATATTTGTACGTCTGGTTCATCCATGTCAGTACGTATATTTGTACGTCTGGTTCATCCATGTCAGTACGTATATTTGTACGTCTGGTTCATCCATGTCAGTACGTATATTTGTACGTCTGGTTCATCCATGTCAGTACGTATATTTGTACGTCTGGTTCATCCATGTCAGTACGTATATTTGTACGTCTGGTTCATCCATGTCAGTACGTATATTTGTACGTCTGGTTCATCCATGTCAGTACGTATATTTGTACGTCTGGTTCATCCATGTCAGTACGTATATTTGTACGTCTGGTTCATCCATGTCAGTACGTATATTTGTACGTCTGGTTCATCCATGTCAGTACGTATATTTGTACGTCTGGTTCATCCATGTCAGTACGTATATTTGTACGTCTGGTTCATCCATGTCAGTACGTATATTTGTACGTCTGGTTCATCCATGTCAGTACGTATATTTGTACGTCTGGTTCATCCATGTCAGTACGTATATTTGTACGTCTGGTTCATCCATGTCAGTACGTATATTTGTACGTCTGGTTCATCCATGTCAGTACGTATATTTGTACGTCTGGTTCATCCATGTCAGTACGTATATTTGTCCGTCTGGTTCATCCATGTCAGTACGTATATTTGTCCGACTGGTTCATCCATGTCAGTACGTATAATTGTCCGACTGGTTTAACTAGACACTTTTACCGTGGCAATTCGTATCGTGTATTGATTTAAAGGGATCAAAACGGGAAAACTATGTTATTGTCTGTTTATTGCATTTCATACTACCTATAACGACGAAATATTATTTGGGGTTTAATAGCGCAATTTATGATGCCATATTCTAATGGCGTCATTCTTGACAACACAACTGTATTCAATTTGGAATGGGTTAAACAAACTATTTCTTTATACTTTTATATGGTAAAATTTACTGACGAAACTGTGAACAATGCTGTAGTTAGCAAATTGCTTTCGTGTAAAGACTTATCCAAAATATATGTCGTCGCTCCATGTACATTTGAGCAGAAAATACATGGATTCGAATGTCGTGAGTATCAAGTACCATTTTGATTGGTCAAAACTAAATGTGGTATTTTCGAAATGCGACAAATATTCCTTTTGGTATCTGTCACAGAGTGAAACATTTTGTATAACAACATGTCACACTGTATCTACGCTGAGAGCGCCACTTAGTTTGGTTTGTTATTGGATGCATTAAGATTCTCTGTGTTTTAGCGCCACGTGTTGCATTATGTAATTATCATGTAAATACGTCACTATGAATGTGCCGATAGCGCCAGGTGTATTATTGTGAAATTATCATATCAATGTGTCTCTATAAATGTGCCATAAGCGCCACATTTTACTAGGTAATTATCATGTGAATGTGTCTCTATAAATGTGCCATTAGCGCTACATGTTACTATGTAAATATCATGTGAATGTGCCTCTATAAATGTGCCATTAGCGCCACATGTTACGATGTAATTGTCATGTGAATGTGCCTCTATAAATGTGCCATTAGCGCCACATGTTACTATGTAAATTTCATGTGAATGTGCCTCTATAAATGTGACATTAGCGCCATATTTTACTATGTAATTATCATGTGAATGTTCCTCTATAAATGTGCCATTAGCGCCACATTTTACGATGTAATTATCATGTGAATGTGCCTCAATAAATGTGCCATTAGCGCCACATTTTACTATGGAATTATCATGTGAATGTGTGTCTATAAATGTGCCATTAGCGCCACATGTTACGATGTAATTATCATGTGAATGTGCCTCTATAAATGTGCCATTAGCGCCACATGTTACTATGTAATTATCATGTGACGTTTGTTTACTTACTGACACCTCCACGTGCACTACACTATCCCCGTGTTTTACTGATATAACAAAAGCACCAACAACGGTCTGGCTCATTCTGGAAATAAAAATAATGATTAAATAAGACAATAACTACCAGGTGAAAGTTTGTGTTCTCATAAATACGACAATAACTACCAGGTGAATGTTTGTTTTCTCATAAATACGACAATAATTACCAGGTGAAAGTTTGTGTTCTCATAAATACGACAATAACTACCAGGTGAAAGTTTGTGTTCTCAAAAATACGACAATAACTACCAGGTGGAAGTTTGTGTGTTCTCATAAATACGACAATAACTACCAGGTGGAAGTTTGTGTTCTCATAAATACGACAATAACTACCAGGTGGAAGTTTGTGTTCTCATAAATACGACAATAACTACCAGGTGAAAGTTTGTGTTCTCATAAATACGACAATAACTACCAGGTGAAAGTTTGTGTTCTCATAAATACGACAATAACTACCAGGTGAAAGTTTGTGTTCTCATAAATACGACAATAACTACCAGGTGAAAGTTTGTGTTCTCATAAATACGACAATAACTACCAGGTGAAAGTTTGTGTTCTCATAAATACGACAATAACTACCAGGTGAAAGTTTGTGTTCTCATAAATACGACAATAACTACCAGGTGAAAGTTTGTGTTCTCATAAATACGACAATAACTACCAGGTGAAAGTTTGTGTTCTCATAAATACGACAATAACTACCAGGTGAAAGTTTGTGTTCTCATAAATACGACAATAACTACCAGGTGAAAGTTTGTGTTCTCATAAATACGACAATAACTACCAGGTGAAAGTTTGTGTTCTCATAAATACGACAATAACTACCAGGTGAAAGTTTGTGTTCTCATAAATACGACAATAACTACCAGGTGAAAGTTTGTGTTCTCATAAATACGACAATAACTACCAGGTGAAAGTTTGTGTTCTCATAAATACGACAATAACTACCAGGTGAAAGTTTGTGTTCTCATAAATACGACAATAACTACCAGGTGAAAGTTTGTGTTCTCATAAATACGACAATAACTACCAGGTGAAAGTTTGTGTTCTCATAAATACGACAATAACTACCAGGTGAAAGTTTGTGTTCTCATAAATACGACAATAACTACCAGGTGAAAGTTTGTGTTCTCATAAATACGACAATAACTACCAGGTGAAAGTTTGTGTTCTCATAAATACGACAATAACTACCAGGTGAAAGTTTGTGTTCTCATAAATACGACAATAACTACCAGGTGAAAGTTTGTGTTCTCATAAATACGACAATAACTACCAGGTGAAAGTTTGTGTTCTCATAAATACGACAATAACTACCAGGTGAAAGTTTGTGTTCTCATAAATACGACAATAACTACCAGGTGAAAGTTTGTGTTCTCATAAATACGACAATAACTACCAGGTGAAAGTTTGTGTTCTCATAAATACGACAATAACTACCAGGTGAAAGTTTGTGTTCTCATAAATACGACAATAACTACCAGGTGAAAGTTTGTGTTCTCATAAATACGACAATAACTACCAGGTGAAAGTTTGTGTTCTCATAAATACGACAATAACTACCAGGTGAAAGTTTGTGTTCTCATAAATACGACAATAACTACCAGGTGAAAGTTTGTGTTCTCATAAATACGACAATAACTACCAGGTGAAAGTTTGTGTTCTCATAAATACGACAATAACTACCAGGTGAAAGTTTGTGTTCTCATAAATACGACAATAACTACCAGGTGAAAGTTTGTGTTCTCATAAATACGACAATAACTACCAGGTGAAAGTTTGTGTTCTCATAAATACGACAATAACTACCAGGTGAAAGTTTGTGTTCTCATAAATACGACAATAACTACCAGGTGAAAGTTTGTGTTCTCATAAATACGACAATAACTACCAGGTGAAAGTTTGTGTTCTCATAAATACGACAATAACTACCAGGTGAAAGTTTGTGTTCTCATAAATACGACAATAACTACCAGGTGAAAGTTTGTGTTCTCATAAATACGACAATAACTACCAGGTGAAAGTTTGTGTTCTCATAAATACGACAATAACTACCAGGTGAAAGTTTGTGTTCTCATAAATACGACAATAACTACCAGGTGAAAGTTTGTGTTCTCATAAATACGACAATAACTACCAGGTGAAAGTTTGTGTTCTCATAAATACGACAATAACTACCAGGTGAAAGTTTGTGTTCTCATAAATACGACAATAACTACCAGGTGAAAGTTTGTGTTCTCATAAATACGACAATAACTACCAGGTGAAAGTTTGTGTTCTCATAAATACGACAATAACTACCAGGTGAAAGTTTGTGTTCTCATAAATACGACAATAACTACCAGGTGAAAGTTTGTGTTCTCATAAATACGACAATAACTACCAGGTGAAAGTTTGTGTTCTCATAAATACGACAATAACTACCAGGTGAAAGTTTGTGTTCTCATAAATACGACAATAACTACCAGGTGAAAGTTTGTGTTCTCATAAATACGACAATAACTACCAGGTGAAAGTTTGTGTTCTCATAAATACGACAATAACTACCAGGTGGAAGTTTGTGTTCTCATAAATACGACAATAACTACCAGGTGGAAGTTTGTGTTCTCATAAATACGACAATAACTACCAGGTGGAAGTTTGTGTTCTCATAAATACGACAATAACTACCAGGTGAACGTTTGTGTTCTCTTAAAATCGACAATGACTACCAGGTGAAAGTTTGTGTTCTCATAAATACGACAATAAACCATGGCCTATCGTATGGACGCTGCGGCTGTATGAAGAAATTAAAACAGCCATCTGACGGATCTAGATATAAACCTCACTAGGTACATTCCTTGATGCAAATAAATAGGATTATGCCTCAAAATCGAATCCATAATTACTGGTGTCTAAACACTCATAATATTTTTCATTTCTCACAAAAAGTGCAGCAAATGTTGATGTAACTGCTATCGACATAACAATACCAAAACATCAACCGCACCATTCATGAAGAATTGTTTTTTGCAATAGTCATATAAATGACCTAAGACGGATTACAATTAATGATAGAGTTATCTGAAAAAATAGCGTATCTAAACTGGAATTATATCAAATTGTGCAAGGTTGGTCCTTTCTCTATATTTCTATGAAATGTCCTTTTTTCTGAAACTTATTAAAGTAAAGTATAAAGAGCATGAAACCAATGCTGAGATACCGTGGTTGGATTCACATTTGCTACCTGACGAGATAGGTCCCGGGGCTCTTCTCATTTAGCAGGCCTTCTGCTTCTTTTCTTGACATCTCACCGGCGAACCAGCTGTCAACAAAAAAGAAGTCAATAATAACATATGAATACTGCATAGGACTGAGGGATTTTATTATCTCCCTTTATTCTAACCTAAACACACGGCTGGCGATGTAAATAAGTGACATCAGAGAATAAATCATCATATATGAAGTGACCAGTTTGCTTTAACAGGTAATTATTAAGTGTCTAAGTGGCCATACTGCCATATCAAAATCGAGCCTATCTAGTTAAGTTTGAATTTGTCTCTTCTCAGAAATCTAGTGTGATCCTTATAGAAATTAAGGTAGGTGTTCGTTGTATATCACTATTTAATAAAAAAAAAAATCATTGGAAATGCAAGCGTTATAAATGATGCAATTTATTTACGGAATTCCCGGAGAAAAACCACCGACCTACGGCCAGCACCTGGCGACTGCCCCACGTAGGCCTCGAGCCCGCGACCACGTGGTGGAGGGCTAGCGGTAGCAGAATGTCACTATAACCACTTGGCCACCGCGGCCCCTAACAGAACATTGATAATTAATGTCAAACACATAATTGACAGGGTAAGCCAAGGTAAATCAGATAAAATTATACTGATTACGATAAAGGTTACTATATAGTAAAAGAAAGAGTAATGGATACTTTAAGGAAAGAGTGTGCAGAAGAAAATAGACCACCATCGAAGCAAGACTATGGTCCAAACATACGGGGAGAAGTGGAAATCCGGTCAATGTTAGCCCCAGCAAAACATGGGAATGCTCCCTGGAAGTGTGAGCAAATTTGTGTCAGAATTCTTAAATTAAGGAAAAGAAATAAAAAATAATTCGAGGTTCTTATATACCGTTATATCACAACCTAGGTCAAAGGTCGTCTCAAAGCGGTTCACAAATTATTATTCGTGGTTATATGGCCTTTGCAACCAGCCAATATCTTTCTCGACTTCATGGGGAGCATATAGCCGGTGCTGCCATTACGGCGCTCACAGCTAGCATTCAACAATTCAAGCACTGCCCAACCATGTACTCATTTACATCTGAGTAGAATAGAACAAAGCGGAGTAAAGGATTTTAAAAAGGTAGTGTCGTGCCGTGACTCGAACCTGCAACCCTTCGGTCATGAGCCCGGAGTCCTACCACTAGACTATTGTGAAAAATGAAGGAATGAATGAGAGTCTTGGGACAAGTTTTGTAAGCACATCAAATATAGGCCCCGACTCTGACAGTATATAAAAAATGTTGTGGGGCAATAAAAACCCAGTAGAATAACAACACATTCATTTCGTTTTAAGATCAGAAGAAAAGGAACACAACTCCTACTCCTTGATTGTAATATCGTTAAAAGTAAAACTTTGAACAGAAATGTTGACGACAGACGTACCGCCCATATATCAGCTCCAAGACAAGTTAGACTAAATGAACAAAACACCGACGACGACAAAAGTTTGGCAGCATTCTATATCATGTAAAATGTAGCAAGTGGGTTATAGTCAATTAGTACTTCACTACTGTAGCCACTGGGTTTACCCTCGATTATACTTAATTTACCTGAAGTTATAAGTTAACATATTTCACAAGATACCGATTTCCTCTACAGGAATAGAACTTGACGTTTTATAAATTGCGAACAGAATAAAAGAGTTAAGCATAGTTGGCTTTTGATATCATGAACCGCTGTGAACAGATTACTAACTATAGTTTGATTTTGATGTGATTGAAATAGATACATAATATTAAAACCAGTAAACTATTTGATGTATTTATGATGAAAAGACAGTCAATACAATACGCCCTGATCTTAAATTTAGTGACAGCTTGGGTTGGTTTTTATCCGTGCAATTATCTGGTAAGTTTTGCTGATAAAAGATTATGCTTTTTAGAATTTTGAATAAAAGCTGTAAAAATAAATACTTGGACTGTTTACCTTATTTTTTCTTTACTACGTCTATCCTTCGCTATGCTGGCCTCCTTGATACATCTAATCTGAAAGGTTTGGTTGTTCACAGTTAGTTTGAACCCGTTCACTCAAATGTCGTTCAATAAAGCGGTAATAAGCTGATTTATAACTTCGATAGCACAACACAGAAAAGTTTTGAAACATTATATTTGAAATATAAATAATATACACGTGCAAATAACAAAAATGTTTTTTCGTATGTAATTAAGACATTTACGTTTAAAAACAAATCAACTAGTTAGAATCACCTATGTGCTTATGTACCATTTATTTAAACTAAGTACCACTGAGTCCATGGTCGGTTCGAGAAAAGAATCGACCTCAATACCACTGCATGCTAACTAGAGTAGACCCCCTGCAGATTGAGGAGGAATGTGTTGATATATCTGCCTTTTTCTGTTCTACCTGTTTTGTCGGCATTGTCTCCCTTGCCACCCAGGATGTTAAGCCACGAACAGAACCAAAGTACTTACATTGTGATATATACGACTACGTACTGACCTGTTGAACCATGACACAATCATTGGGCCTCACTGGTCCTAAATATTTCACTAGACGTGCAAAGTTCTTATACTCAACCACTGCTGTTTCATCTATAATAGACACAAACAAAAACATTAGGCTTAAGTGTTTCAAGGTCAAGTTTAGTAATATCCTCCAATGTTTGAACAAAGCTACTTAAAGTACCAGGCAAATTTTGACATATTTACCCCTGTGAATTCGAATGGTGGTCTGGGTAATTTATTGTTACAATCTTTTTACCTCTCTAACAAAGCTACATGTACCTCCTGATTTACATATTATGAAGGCTAAGACCTTCTTGAACTTGAAATGGAGCCGCTAAAAGATTAAAACATTTTAAAAACACTTAAATGACCTTACTTTTCTGTCAATGGCATATATTTTCAACTCTGATAGTCAACACCTAAACTGCCAACTTGTCGAATACCATGATCTTATGGTTCCTAAAACGGATAGTGAAAAGGGAAGAGCGATACAGCTAAAGAGGAGGCATTGACTAGTGAATCAACTATGACTATGGTAACTCCTTATAATAAAAGTAGGTTTTGGTAAATCACATGTGAGCTTGATACTAAGAACACACTTTGGAGAAGGGCATCAACATTATTTTAGTCGTCCCAGTGTATTTAAACATGTTCAATTGCTCAGTGCTAATAATGTAAAAGATTTGTGTAATCTTGGTAAATATATAATATTTGCTTTTAAGAAGCGCTCTCAGTCAGTATAGTATTATCACATTCTCGTGTGTGTGTGTGTGTGTGTGTGTGTGTGTATGAGATACGTATATATACAATTATCACTCTCCTGTACATCATTACTCTGTTTAACCTGTAATTATGTATTAATATTGTGTTTTGTATGTTATAAGTCGTAAGGCTTACAGAATAAACTAATTGAATTGAACATATAAACTCTATGATTGGAAAAAAACTTCACGTTCGTGGTAATTCAGTTGTCACGTTTGTTATGGAGTCTGGAAATGAGCTGACATTTTTTGTCAAAATAAAATTAGATATTAAGAGGTAGAGTTTCAAGCCCTGGAGGACTAATACGACCTGGAGGACTAGTAAGCACTGGGGGACTAACAAGCCCTGGAGGACTAACAAGCCCTGGAGGACTAATACGCCCTGGAGGACTAACAAGCCCTGGAGGACTAATACGCCCTGGAGAACTAACAAGCCCTGGAGGACTAACAAGCCCTGGAGGACTAATACGCCCTGGAGGAATAACATGCCCTGGAGGACTAACAAGCCCTGGATGACTAACAAGCCCTGGATGACTAATACGCCCTGGAGGACTAACAAGCCCTGGAGGACTAATACGCCCTGGAGAACTAACAAGCCCTGGAGGACTAACAAGCCCTGGAGGACTAATACGCCCTGGATGACTAACACGCCCTGGAGGACTAACAAAAGACTCATCTGCTGATCTATAAAAGAGTTTCCATAAGTTACATATATTTACAAACGCATTTCAAGTTTGCGACATGAAGTATTTTTAGAAAACAATACATTATATCATATGAAACACAGCATCAACAAAAAGAAAGACAGAAGGAACCCTCATAAATAATGTATTCAAATCATAAGCATACAAACGTTTGACATGTGATTTGTTTCTTAAAGAGTTTTTTCATAATCAATGAGATGCTGGAAAGTCATCTTAAAAAAACCCAAAGTGATAACCCACCAAGTGACTACGACTGTCGCATTATTCCGCCAAGAACAAAACACAGAAAACATCCGATATCGGGTTAGATTTCAATTTACAATGTAATTATAAGGTTGATTATGAAACTTTCCTGATGAGTTTATCCTGACGAGTGTTAGACTACAACAAGTAACTTTGTAACACTTACCTGCTAGGTCGACCTTTAGTAGCCTTTTCAGCAGATTAATGACTTTGGTATCAGCAAGTAATTTTTCGGCTTTTGAAAATTCTTTCAAAGTTACAATGAATTTTTCCAGGAACTGAAATCATATTACATGAGTTTCTTTAGAAACGATATTGTCATGCCGATTCTAAGATTTTAATTTAACACTCCAATTGAAGAAATAATAGCAAATGGTACAAAGATGTGTTAATTACTGTTTTACTATCTATGTCTGTACGGGATTACCTTGATATGACAGCCGGTCTCATCCAAACCCTTGCGTGGTACTTTTCTCCAGAAGTCGATAGAATCCTGGGAAGGGAGCGCTAAATCTATTAATTCGCACACATCGCCTGAAAGGAAAACACGAGTAAGTGCCTTATAAAAGATGAAAGACAAATTATTTTAATAAGTATATCTTGTGTAATTATTGTGACAAAAAGAAGTAATAAACGATACAATATACTATAACATGATACCTAGTTCATACAGAAGTAACCCAGATAGACGGGGGAATGGTTCACCCAGTCAGCCTTTCTTTCTGTATTGTATAATATAATGACAATAATGTAGTGGACACAACGATAAAAAATAAGAACGATTTGCACGGTTCAAGAACAAAAATACTCAAGAAAAACAGCAGACTAAGATGGAACCAATCATCCCGTGGGTACAACCTCTGTTGTCTGCATTACTCCTACTGTCAAGGTATACAGGCATTTACAGCCGACAGTGTAAAGGTATTAAATAACATTAGCATACTTGTAAGGATATATAAACATATCACAATTAACTGAAGCTCGGGTAGCAAGTGCTCTGATAAACTTTCAAACTCTCTGGCCATTGGCCTGACAATGATAATTCTCTCCTACACAATACTGTTCTACATATATGACTTATATTCTAAATCCATTTGAATTAAAACCTTGAAAACAGAGTAACAGAATAGTGAGACACTGCTTCGTTGAACGTACTTACAGTAGTAGTCAGGTTGTGTTGAGCACACAGACACAGATCCACGGGACGAGCTCAGGTCACTGGGAGCAAGCACATTATGATGTTGTCCACTAGCTGTGCCTATCACTTCCTTCACATCTGTTACTTCACTATCTATAAACGGATAGGGCATAGCGTTTAATTCTGACGAGGGCAATCCTTGTGTACTGTTTTGTGTTAGGAGACACTCTCCTAACGAGTAGTCCTCATTGCTTCCTATGAAACATTGATATGAATTACTTTGATCTTTTTCTGCAGTAATGTCTTCCGCTTGCAACACTATCCAACTTTTGTCCCCAACACTAGTTATTTCATCAGTTTTATTCACCTGATATGTTTTGGATGCATCTTTGTCATGCTCTACCGGGTTTCCAATCTGTTGTGTCGTTGAACTTTCTACTCCATCACCACGGCCATCGCAGTGGGCCATATCAGTTGTTGGGAGGTGTACTCTGTTCTGTATCATACTTGACTAGGTCTCTTTAGCATGTTACCGCCATATGCAGGGGAGGCTGGAGTGTTGTTACAATCAACTATAGTGAAATTAAGTCTTTTATTATTTCATGTGAAACAAAATATTTTTTAAAGGAGTATTACAAATTTTGAAAAAAAAGTCTTAATGCAGCTCACTAACATATATTAGCATGTTTTTATTTTTTATTTCTAGTGTTGTTTGTAAACAAAACCAATAAACTCCTAGTGTCTATGGTCGTTCTATTGATGAAAAACTTTGCCATATTCGTCTGATTTAAAGAGCCCTCTTTTGCATCAACTGCAATTGTAAGATGTTATTAACAAGTATTGAAATAGGAACGAACTGTACCGCTCTGGTGTAATAAAGTCATACTTAGCGAGAGCAGGATGTTATTTAAACTTAAATATATTTGTATACAATTTGATGTTATATCTTGAAGTCGGTTTATATTATGATACATGTGATGAAGAGCTTTATATACTCATATTGATTTTTTTTTATTAAATACACATTTGCCAAGCCGTTATAGATACATCTAAGGCAACAATAAACATATTAACTAACGCTAAACTAATGAGTTGACACAGCTTTGTTTTAAGCCTATATGAGTTGATACACCTTTGTTTTCAGCCTAAATGAGTTGACACTTTTGTTTTAAGCCTACATGAGTTGAAACACCTTTGTTTTAAGCCTACATGAGTTGACAAACCTTTGTTTTAAGCCTACATGAGTTGACAAACCTTTGTTTGAAGCCTACATGAGTTGACACACTTTTGTTTTAAGCCTACATGAGTTGAAACACCTTTATTTTAAGCCTACATGAGTTGACAAACTTTTGTTTTAAGCCTACATCAGTTGATGTACTTTTGTTTTAAGCCTACATGAGTTGACACAGCTTTGTTTGAAGCCTACATTAGTTTACACACCTTTGTTTGAAGCCTACATGAGTGGAAACACATTTGTTTGAAGCCTACATGAGTTGACACACTTTTGTTTTAAGACTACATGAGTTGACACACCTTTGTTGGAAGCCTACATGAGTTGACACAGCTTTGTTTTAAGTCTAAATGAGTTGACACACTTTTGTTTTAAGCCTTCATGAGTTGAAACACCTTTATTTTAAGCCTACATGAGTTGACAAACTTTTGTTTTAAGCCGACATGAGTTGACAAACCTTTGTTTGAAGCCAACATGAGTTGACACACCTTTGTTTTAAGCCTATATGAGTTGACAAACCTTTGTGTTAAGCCTACATGAGTTGACACAGCTTTGTGTGAAGCCTACATGAGTTTACACACCTTTGTTTGAAGCCTACATGAGTTGACAAACCTTTGTTTTAAGCCTACATCAGTTGATGTACTTTTGTTTTAAGCCTACATGAGTTGACACACTTTTGTTTTAACACTACATGAGTTGACACACCTTTGTTTGAAGCCTACATGAGTTGACAAACCTTTGTTTTAAGACTAATGAGTTGACACACCTTTATTTCAAGTCTAAATGAGTTGACACACTTTTGTTTTAAGCCTTCATGAGTTGAAACACCTTTATTTTAAGCCTACATGAGTTGACAAACTTTTGTTTTAAGCCTACATGAGTTGACACACTTTTGTTTTAAGACTACATGAGTTGACACACCTTTGTTTGAATCCTACATGAGTTGACACAGCTTTGTTTTAAGCCTACATGAGTTGACACAGCATTGTTTTAAGCCTACATGAGTTGACAAACATTTGTTTGAAGCCTACATGAGTTAACACAGCTTCGTTTTAAGCCTTCATGAGTTGACACACCTTTGTTTTAAGCCTATATGAGTTGACAAACCTTTGTGTTAAGCCTACATGAGTTGACGCATCTTTGTGTTAAGCCTACATGAGTTGACACAGCTTTGTTTGAAGCCTACATTAGTTTACACACCTTTGTTTGAAGCCTACATGAGTTGACACACTTTTGTTTTAAGACTACATGAGTTGACACACCTTTGTTGGAAGCCTACATGAGTTGACACAGCTTTGTTTTCAGTCTAAATGAGTTGACACACTTTTGTTTTAAGTCTACATGAGTTGACAAATCTTTGTTTTAAGCCTCTATGAGTTGACACACCTTTGTGTTAAGTCTACATGAGTTGACACAGCTTTGTTTTAAGTCTAAATGAGTTGACACACCTTTGTGTTAAGCCTACCTGAGTTGACACACCTTTGTGTTATGCCTACATGAGGTGACACATCTTTGTGTTAAGCCTAAATGAGTTGACACAGTTTTGTTTTAAGTCTACATGAGTTGACACACCTTTGTTTGAAGCCTACATGAGTTGACAAACCTTTGTTTTAAGACTAATGAGTTGACACACCTTTATTTCAAGTCTAAATGAGTTGACACACTTTTGTTTTAAGCCTTCATGAGTTGACAAACCTTTGTTTTAAGCCTACATCAGTTGAAACACCTTTGTGTAAAGCCTACATGAGTTGACAAACCTTTGTTTTAAAACTACATGAGTTGACAAACCTTTGTTTTAAGACTACATGAGTTGACACACCTTTGTTTGAAGCCTACATGAGTGGAAACACATTTGTTTGAAGCCTACATGAGTTGACACACTTTTGTTTTAAGCCTTCATGAGTTGACAAACCTTTGTTTTAAGCCTACATCAGTTGAAACACCTTTGTGTAAAGCCTACATGAGTTGACAAACCTTTGTTTTAAAACTACATGAGTTGACAAACCTTTGTTTTAAAACTACATGAGTTGACAAACCTTTGTTTTAAGTCTACATGAGTTGACAAATCTTTGTTTTAAGCCTCTATGAGTTGACACACCTTTGTGTTAAGTCTACATGAGTTGACACAGCTTTGTTTTAAGTCTAAATGAGTTGACACACCTTTGTGTTAAGCCTACATCAGTTGAAACACCTTTGTTTTAAGCCTACCTGAGTTGACACACCTTTGTGTTAAGCCTACATGAGCTGACACAGCTTTGTTTTAAGCCTACATGAGTTGACACACCTTTGTGTTAAGCCTACATCAGTTGAAACACCTTTGTTTTAAGCCTACCTGAGTTGACACACCTTTGTGTTATGCCTACATGAGTTGACACATCTTTGTGTTAAGCCTAAATGAGTTGTCACAGTTTTGTTTTAAGCCTACATGAGTTGACACACTTTTGTTTTAAGACTACATGAGTTGACACAGCTTTGTTTTAAGTCTAAATGAGTTGACACACCTTTGTGTTAAGCCTACCTGAGTTGACACACCTTTGTGTTATGCCTACATGAGTTGACACATCTTTGTGTTAAGCCTAAATGAGTTGACACAGTTTTGTTTTAAGCCTACATGAGTTGACAAACATTTGTTTGAAGCCTACATGAGTTAACACAGCTTCGTTTTAAGCCTTCATGAGTTGACACACCTTTGTTTTAAGCCTATATGAGTTGACAAACCTTTGTGTTAAGCCTACATGAGTTGACAAACCTTTGTGTTAAGCCTACATGAGTTGACACATCTTTGTGTTAAGCCTAAATGAGTTGACACAGTTTTGTTTTAAGCCTACATGAGTTGACACAGCATTGTTTTAAGCCTACATGAGTTGACAAACCTTTGTTTTAAGCCTACATCAGTTGAAACACCTTTGTTTTAAGCCTACCTGAGTTGACGCCCCTTTGTGTTATGCATACATGAGTTGACACATCTTTGTGTTAAGCCTAAATGAGTTGACACAGTTTTGTTTTAAGCCTACATGAGTTGACACACCTTTGTGTTAAGCCTACATCAGTTGAAACACCTTTGTGTAAAGCCTACATGAGTTGACAAACCTTTGTTTTAAGCCTACATCAGTTGAAACACCTTTGTTTTAAGCCTACCTGAGTTGACACACCTTTGTGTTAAGCCTACATGAGCTGACACAGCTTTGTTTTAAGCCTACATGAGTTGACACACTTTTGTTTTAAGACTACATGAGTTGACACACCTTTGTTGGAAGCCTACATGAGTTGACACAGCTTTGTTTGAAGCCTACATGAGTTTACACACCTTTGTTTGAAGCCTACATGAGTTGACACACTTTTGTTTTAAGCCTTCATGAGTTGACAAACCTTTGTTTTAAGCCTACATCAGTTGAAACACCTTTGTTTTAAGCCTACCTGAGTTGACACACCTTTGTGTTATGCCTACATGAGTTGACACATCTTTGTGTTAAGCCTAAATGAGTTGACACAGTTTTGTTTTAAGCCTACATGAGTTGACACACCTTTGTGTTAAGCCTACCTGAGTTGACACACCTTTGTGTTAAGCCTACATGAGCTGACACAGCTTTGTTTGAAGCCTACATGAGTTGACAAACCTTTGTTTTAAGCCTACATGAGTTGACAAACCTTTGTTTGAAGCCTACATGAGTTGACACACCTTTGTGTTAAGCCTACATGAGTTGACACAGCTTTGTTTGAAGCCTACATGAGTTTACACACCTTTGTTTGAAGCCTACATGAGTTGAAACACCTTTGTTTGAAGCCTACATGAGTTGACACACCTTTGTGTTAAGCCTACATCAGTTGAAACACCTTTGTGTTAAGCCTACATGAGTTGACAAACCTTTGTTTTGAAAACTACATGAGTTGACAAACCTTTGTTTTAAGACTAATGAGTTGACACACCTTTATTTTAAGTCTAAATGAGTTGACACACTTTTGTTTTAAGCCTACATGAGTTGACACGCCTTTGTTTTAAGCCTACATGAGTTGACAAACCTTTGTGTTAAGCCTACATGAGTTGACAAACCTTTGTTTTAAGACTACATGAGTTGACACAGCTTTGTTTTAAGTCTAAATGAGTTGACACTTTTGTTTTAAGCCTACATGGGTTGACAAACCTTTGTGTTAAGCCTACATCAGTTGATACACCTTTGTGTTAACCTAACATGAGTTGACAAACCTTTGTGTTAAGTCTACATGAGTTGACAAACCTTTGTTTAAAGCCTACATGAGTTGACACACCTTTGTTTTAAGACTACATGAGTTGACAAACCTTTGTTTTAAGTCTACATGAGTTGACAAACCTTTGTTTGAAGCCTACATGAGTTGACAAACCTTTGTGTTAAGTCTACATGAGTTGACACAGCTTTGTTTTAAGTCTACACGAGTTGACAAACCTTTGTGTTAAGTCTACATGAGTTGACACAGCTTTGTTTTAAGTCTACACGAGTTGACAAACCTTTGTGTTAAGTCTACATGAGTTGACACAGCTTTGTTTTAAGTCTACACGAGTTGACAAACCTTTGTGTTAAGTCTACATGAGTTGACACAGCTTTGTTTTAAGTCTACACGAGTTGACAAACCTTTGTGTTAAGTCTACATGAGTTGACACAGCTTTGTTTTAAGTCTACACGAGTTGACAAACCTTTGTGTTAAGTCTACATGAGTTGACACAGCTTTGTTTTAAGTCTACACGAGTTGACAAACCTTTGTGTTAAGTCTACATGAGTTGACACAGCTTTATTTTAAGTCTACACGAGTTGACAAACCTTTGTGTTAAGTCTACATGAGTTGACACACTTTTGTTTTAAGTCTACACGAGTTGACAAACCTTTGTGTTAAGCCTACATGAGTTGACACACGTTCGTTTAAAGCCTACATACTATCGGACAGGTTTCCTCCTTCACACTAACAAAAATAGAGAATATCTTTTATCAACTGATCTGGACGTACTTCATGATAGACATACGTGAATGTAACAAATGATCCAATGATGAAACGATTCTCCTTAAATAACGCTCCTACGTTTTAAAGGAGAGAACTCCCTTACAAATCACAGATAAATGTATAAGAGAGCATTAAACCTTACACAGTAATAAATATTATATTGTTAAGTTATTGCCATTCTTGTATATTGGCGACATCTAACAAAGACAGTGAAGAAACTCAGTGATTTCACTCAAAGCTTCCCCTGAACGCCTTAACAAGATATGGGCCCCGATTTCCAGTGTGATGACTAGATACAGACACAACATTTAGTATGAAATGAAGAAAATAATTGCCACAAACTTGTGTATGTGAACAATTTTTTTATTGCTGCTCTTGAAGTTTTTCATCTACTATTGTAAGCAAAGGGAGACTACTCCGTCTTTTTCCATGGGTAAATTATATTTATCCTACTACATTTTTTAGAAGAGGTTGGTCTGTACTCTTACATTACTAAGAAAAGGGACAAAATTAAAATTAAATGGAACTTTAAAACTGAAATAATTAGTTAGAAAATGAACTATGATTTACTCTTTTCAAACTATTTTGAAACATGTTTCTAAAGATTAATGTACTATATAGTAAAATTGTATCCATGTACTACTTCATTATTTATAATTGTATGTCAATCTCTAATAGATGTACTCTTGTAATTGGATTTGGACGTATGTATGTATCACATGTTGTAACATTTGTATATATGATTGAATCAAAGTATATACGAGAAGAAACCACCTTGTGTATGTGGTAGCCACCATACAACATGCTGTGTTCTCAGTCACCATACAACATGCTGTGTTCTCACCAAACCATGTTAAACACAGCATTCGGGATATTTAATAATAACATTCAGAAAAAAATATACCCTGTTCAAGTATACCTAGATATAATATTTTTACTCACTGTAGTGAAATAAATGTCGTGTATTAGCTTGTCTGCTTTAAGAATAATATAGAATTCCTACTCCCAAATTAACCCCCGTATATCAGATTTCTGTTTAACACAACAATGCGTGGACTCCATCGACGTGATAGTTGTGTTGGCAGGTTCTGGCAGTTGAACAATATGAATACACGTAAGTCCGCGTAAAGGCGTGTTACAACAGATATCCTGTACAATTTGTTTGTGTCCTAAAATAGGTTTAACAGGTACCTAACAAGATCGAACAATGGCCTTATAGAAAAACGAGTTCATGTAGTGTATATGCAGGACTATGACACACATGTTTACAATTCAACTCATATGTAATGACAAATATGATTTGATGGCAAGTTACAAGCAATTAATAAAATAGCACAAATACATATTAAATGCAGACCACCAACTCTCCTCATTCTAGAGAATGTATAGTAAACAGACCATACAATATTGTAAACTTGTAAGAGAACAGGCAGATGACATTACGGCTATAGATACCTCGGGTTTACTGTATCATGGTACTGTAAATAACAACGAAATGACAGATAAAACTCATGGATATAAGATCCCTCCTGTGCACATATGAGTGGCTGTCGTTATGTTTTTGTACTTGATTACTAAGCTGTGTAGCCGATAAAGACATAACAAGCCAGACGTAACAAGCCAGACGTAACACATATGTCCAAATCTGATTATACACAAAATGTCGCAAGCCTTAGCACTATATTAATACTCCCTAAAACACCGCTCGTCAACCTAACATGACCATACCACAACAATTTATGTGTGTACATACCTCTGATGCAGATACCTCGAACCAAGTGGAAAGTGGAAGAGGAAATCCCAGGTGGGAAATCCCAAACCCAGCTACTAGAATAATCCAGTCGTCTGCTTCTGTATCTGTAACTACAATGATATCCTCGCTTAGCTCGAATACTCTGCCAAGTGCATACATGCTGTTCTCTATAGATAGAAATTACGTCTGAAACTTTCAAAGAATTGTTGATCAACTTGTATTGAATTCCGGGAAACAGTGTATTTTACACTGCTAAGCTTCATGGATCATCGCCATACGTGTACGGTCGCTACAGAACACACGTTGATTATACAGTACTACACGTACGCCGGGTCTAGTGCTCATACTGAATGGCAGCGGACGGTAAAGAATGATATTGACTTGAACACTTGCAACAAATGATCTAGACATATCAATAGGTCTATGTTAAATATATTCTATTGCCAACAAATCAAATACAGATAAAAATGGATGTACAACGCACAAATCCTACCAATAAGGAGTAGCTGTTTCCACACTATCAGCAAGCGTTTCTACGTTTAAACTCCAGTAGGTCCGTGTAGAGTCAAGGGGTGTGTGTTAACAATCACGATAGATGTTGTCGTGTTTACAATCACGATAAATGTTGTCGTGTTGACAATCATTATAAAGGTTGTCGTATAAACAATCATTATAAAGGTTGTCGTGTAGACAATAATTATAAATGTTGTCGTGTTGACAATCATTATTAATGTTGTCGTGTTGAGAATAATTATAAATGTTGTCGTGTTGACAATCATTATATAGTTGTGTGTTGACAATCGTTATATAGGTGGTCGTGTTGACAATATCGTAAATGAACCTTTGTAGATTAAAGCTCCCGTAGAATTTTAAGCATGAAAGTGCCGGAAACGATCAGTCAAACACCGAAAGATAAAAGGTACCGTCCTCCCCTTTAGATAACCTGTCCTTGTAGGCGACGATCGTGTAAAAATATAGTTTGTTGTAAAAAACACATTGTTGTATAACGCTGCGATAAATCACATATAGGTATTGTTGTATAACACTCCGATATATCACATATAGGTATTGTTGTATAACACTCCGATACATCACATATAGGTATTGTTGTATAACACTCTGATATATCACATATAGGTATTGTTGTATTACACTCCGATATATCACATATAGGTATTGTTGTATAACACTCCGATATATCACATATAGGTATTGTTGTATTTCACTCCGATATATCACATATAGGTATTGTTGTATAACACTCTGATATATCACATATAGGTATTGTTGTATAACGCTGCAGATGATTGTATGTACAGTTGTTCTGCCCATCTATTCCTTCTGATCTGTACCTCATGTAACTCTGTTCCAAATGTACAAATGTATCTCATGTAACTATGTACCCCATGTAACTATGTTCCGAATGTACAAATGTATCCCATGTAACTATGTACCCCATGTAACTTTTTACACTATGTAACTATTTACCCCATGTGCATATGTACCCAATCTAACCGTACCCTATGTAACCATAACCCCATGTAACGTTGTACCCTATGTTATTATAAACCCTACGTAAAACTATCCTATGTATCTGTGTACCCCATGCACTATGTACCAAGTTTAACGATGTACCCCATGTAACTATGTACCCTATGTAACTCTGTACCCTATGTAACTCTGTACCCCATGTAACTATGTACCCCATGTAACTATGTAACCCATGTTATGTTGTTCCAAATGTAACTATGTACCCCATGTTATTATGTACCCTATGTAACTATAACCCCATGTAACGTTGTACCCTATGTTATTATAAACCCTACGTAAAACTATCCTATGTATGTGTGTACCCCATGCACTATGTACCAAGTTTAACGATGTACCCCATGTAACTATGTACCCTATGTAACTCTGTACCCCATGTAATTATGTACCCTATGTAACTATAACCCCATGTAACGTTGTACCCTATGTAACTCTGTACCCCATGTAACTATGTACACCATGTTACGTTGTTCCCAATGTAACTATGTACCCTATGAAACTCTGTACCCTATGTAACACTGTACCCCATGTAACTCTATGTAACTCTGTACCCCATGTAACTATGTACCCCATGTTACGTTGTTCCAAATGTAACTATGTACCCCATGTTATTATGTACCCTATGTAACTATAACCCCATGTAACGTTGTACCCTATGTTATTATGTACCCTACGTAAAACTCTATCCTATGTATCTGTGTACCCCGTGCATTATGTACCAAGTTTAACGATGTACCCCATGTAACTATGTACCCTATGTAACTCTGTAGCCCATGTAACTCTGTACCCCATGTAACTATGTACCCCATGTTATTCTGTACCCCATGTAACTCTGTACCCTATGTAACTATGTAGCCCATGTAACTATGTACACTATGTAACTCTGTACCCCATGTAACTTTGTACCCCATGTAACTATGTAGCCCATGTAACTATGTTCCCTATGTAACTCTGTAGCCCATGTAACTCTTTACCCCATGTAACTCTGTAGCCCATGTAACTATACCCTATGTAACTCTGTACCCTATGTAACTCTGTACCCCATGTAACTTTGTACCCCATGCAACTATGCAGCCCATGTAACTCTGTACCCTATGCAACTCAGTACCCCATGTAACTATGTAGCCCATGTAACTATGAACCCTATGTAACTCTGTACCCCATGTAGCTTTGTACCCCATGTAACTATGTAGCCCATGTAACTCTGTACCCTATGCAACTCAGTACCCTATGTAACTATGTAGCCCATGTAACTATGTACCCTATGTAACTCTGTACCCCATGTAACTTTGTACCCCATGTAACTATGTAGCCCATGTAACTCTGTACCCTATGCAACTCAGTACCCTATGTAACTATGTAGCCCATGTAACTATGTACTCTATGTAACTCTGTACCCCATGTAACTATGTACCCCATGTAACTCTTTAGCCCATGTAAATATGTACCCTATGTAACTCTGTAGCCCATGTAACTATGTAGCCCATGTAACTATGTACCCTATGTAACTCTGTACCCCATGTAACTCTGTACCCCATGTAACTCTGTACCCTATGTAACTCTGTACCCTATGTAACTATGTACCCCATGTAACTCTGTACCCTATGTAAATCTGTAGCCCATGTAACTCTGTGCCCCATGTAACTATGTACCCCATGTAACTCTGTACCCCATGTAAATATGTACCCCATGTAACTATGTACCCCATGTAACTCTGTTCCCTATGTAACTCTGTACCCTATGTAACTATGTACCCTATGTAACTCTGTACCCCATGTAACTATGTACCCCATGTAACTCTGTACCCTATGTAAATATGTAGCCCATGTAACTCTGTACCCCATGTAACTCTGTACCCCATGTAACTATGTACCCTATGTAACTCTGTGTCCTGTGAACTCTGTACCCCATGCAACTATGTACCCCATGTAACTATGTACCCCATGTAACTCTGTACCCTATGTAAATCTGTAGCCCATGTAACTCTGTACCCTATGTAACTCTGTACCCTATGTAAATGTGTAGCCCATGTAACTCTGTACCCCATGTAACTATGTACCCTATGTAACTCTGTGTCCTGTGAACTCTGTTGCCCATGTAACTCTTTACCCCATGTAACTCTGTACCCCATGTAACTCTGTACCCCATGTAACTCTGTACCCCATGTAACTCTGTACCCCATGTAACTATGTACCCTATGTAACTCTGTACCCCATGTAACTATGTACCCCATGTAACTATGTACCCCATGTAACTCTGTACCCTATTTAAATCTGTAGCCCATGTAACTCTGTACCCCATGTAACTATGTACCCTATGCAACTCTGTGCCATGTGAACTCTGTACCCCATGTAACTCTGTAGCCCATGTAACTATGTTCCCTATGTAACTCTGTACCCCATGTAACTCTTTACCCCATGTAACTCTGTAACCCATGTAACTCTGTAGCCCATGTAACTATTTTCCCTATGTAACTTTGTACCCCATGTAACTATGTCCCCTATGTAACTCTGTAGCCCATGTAACTCTGTGCCCCATGTAACTATGTACCCTATGTAACTCTGTACCCCATGTAACTATAACCCCATGTAACTCTGTATCCCATGTTACTCTCTACTCTGTGTAACTCTGTAGCCCATGTAACTCTTTACCCCATGTAACTCTGTAGCCCATGTAACTCTGTACCCCATGTAAATCTGTACCCTATGTAACTCTGTAGCCCATGTAACTATGTTCCCTATGTAACTCTGTAGCCCATGTAACTATGTACCCTATGTAACTCTGTAGCCCATGTAACTCTGTAGCCCATATAACTATGTACCCCATGTAACTCTGTAGCCCATGTAACTCTGTAGCCCATGTAACTCTTTACCCCATGTAACTCTGTAGCCCATGTAACTCTGTAGCCCATGTAACTATGTACCCTATGTAACTCTGTACCCCATGTAACTCTGTAGCCCATGTAAATATGTTCCCTATGTAACTCTGTACCCCATGTAACTCTGTAGCCCATGTAACTATGTTCCCTATGTAACTCTGTACCCCATGTAACTCTGTACCCCATGTAACTCTGTACCCCATGTACATACATGGTTCATTGCAATAGCACCTGATATCATGTTCCATACGTTGTCATTACGTATGAATTTGCACGTGTAAGAACGGATAGAACGGGCCAAACTAATTTCACGTACTCAACCAATTAAGCCTTCTAGGAATCACAATCACAACTGGACCCTTTCGTGTGTACATTGCAACAACCCTGGTGAATCATCCTGTACACTTTAATGTTTACAATTGTTTATTGGTAATATAATGGTCATATATGCTTGTGTCGTTGTATTCACGTGTATCTATTGTTCTGGTCAACGCCCTGTCAAATATTCATTGTTTTTAATTGCAAAAGACAACCAAAGAATCGTATTCGTATGCTATGAAACTCAAAATTTGGAGACAAAATTAATATAAATTTTAGTATGGCAAAGTGTATTTATGATTGTTGGGTGTAATTCGTTTGTTTTCAAGTATGAAAACCCCATTTAAAATAAGAAATGATATGAATTGTACATCAAACAAATGCAATATACTCTGTAATTCGTTAGAGATTCTCTGAATTTTACAGAAGTCAAGCTGGAATTGAACCACTTCACAGAATGGCACTCCATTGCTATCAAACTAAAACTGAGAGTTTACGTTACCATGAATGTTCAAATAATCAGTTATCCGTTTTTACGGATTATCAAGTGAATACATCATATCTTATTAAAAAAGAATTAAAAGAGAACATGTTAATTGAACTTCTTTAATCGGGCCTAATCGCAGGAAATTTTGAGATTTTTATATATATATTTATTTACAAATTCCGTGTGTTTGATATGTTCAAATGAACTAGATATAGTACTTTGAAACTGATATTGATTGACTCATGTTGCGTTAACATTTACTCATGAATGATGTATTCGTTCCAGCATTTCTAATATGCTCCGGTTTTTTCCCGTATATCTCGTTGATGCATTTAACGCAAGTACAATATTTGAATTATTTTAAAGCGTCGACTATCATTGGTCGACATGTACAGACCTGTTTATTCTATGGATACTATCATTGGTCGATATGTAGAGACCTGTTTGTTCTATGGATACTATCATTGGTCAACAAGTACAGACCTGTTTATTCTATGGATACTATCATTGGTCGAC